TAACATTCAATTGCTTCTTAAAATTATTTCAATTCAAATCACCTATTTCAGTGTTTAGCAATTAGTTACCTTTATTATTCCAAGACTAATCAGATTTAGGGTTAATAGCTATTCCTTCGTTGTAACATTCAACTGCTTCCTAAAATTATTTCAATTCATATAAAGCATCACCTATATTAGTATTTTGCAATTAGTTAACCTTATTATTCCAAAACTAATCAGATTAGGGTTTATAGCTATTGCTTCGTTTTAAGATTCAACTGCTTCTTAATATTAATTCAATTTTTCTAATGCAATTCCTAATTATTATAATTAAACAAAGTTTTTACCCTTCCAATTCCATGCATCATCATATTTAGGGTTAATAGAAATGGCTTACTTGAAACACTCAATTGCATCCTTATATTGATACAAACTGCCTAATGCATATCCTATTTTTTAATATTGAACATTAAATTACCTTTGCCACTTCATGCAGTTTCAGATTTAGGATTAATATAAACAGTTTAGGTGTAACAATTAATTGCATCTTGATATTGTTCCAATTTAGTTAATGCATTACCTAATAATTTTACAATAAACATAAATTACCCTTGGCAATCAAAGCGAAATCATATTTAGGATTAATAAAAATAGCTTCATTAAAACATTAAATTGCTTCTTGAAATTGATTTTTATCGGCTAATGCTGAACCTTAATACGATATATAACAATTTATTACCCTTATCATACCACACTTTTTCTTCTTTAAGATTAATAGAAATTGGTTAAATCATAAAATACTAATTATAATTAATTAAACATTTTCTTTAATAAATCTTCATTACAATAAATTCAATATCACTCAGTAAAGATTCCTTGCATATATTTGTTGAATTTATTGATCAAATCAATCCCATTCACTGATTCTGCCTGATACTGAATATAAAAACAAAACAGAATACAATCTACTTTATTTTTCTTATTAAACAAATGCTTAAATAAACCATTGATTTGCAATTAACTTTGTTAAAAAAAAATTTAAGATTTTTGAATAGCAGAACATTATTGCAGATTGTTATAAAGTATTTTTAACTTCAGTAAAAGTATACGATCCAAATTAAGTAATCAGAATTGAGCAAGGCATAATCTCTTTTTTGGTTTAGAATTCCTTAGTTCATCAAATTCTCTTGTGGAATCTCATACTTATTCAAAATCTTGCCACTCTCTAATGCAATACAAAACTCTCTAACTGTCTCTATGGAATGACTCACAAATTAAGCAATTCTACTTCTAGCTGAGATTCTCTTTATTTTTCAATTATGGTGAACTTTAAGCTTATTCGAAATAAATTTCACTGAGGATATTTTTTTAATTTTTGAGATCAAAGATATTTATAGAAAATATCAAGTTTGAAATGTATTTTTCTCCTTACTTTGTTATTAATTGTATCTTTACCTTTTAGGAACTCAAAATCTAAATTTTACTTCACTTTTAATTATCATTTTTAAGACTAAACCTGCTTATACTCTGTTTAGATTATAATTTTAATGTAGTTTGGTATAAAATTAAATCTCAAAAAATAGTAATCTATACCACTCAAGATATGCTCTATATTTTAATAATATTAAATTAAAATGGTGTAATCACTTGCTTAAAAACATGTAATTATTTATCTTAAGAAATGAAGATCAAAAAATTTAAACAAAAAAACAAAAGTTATTAAAATTGTAATTGTATTGTTTGTAATGAATATTCAAATTCAGTTTTGCTTTAAGTCTTCTAAAAAGAAACTTCCTTTGGATATAAACAATGGTTTTAAATCTTTCCCTTAATGATTAATGAACTATCCTTATAGGATAAGTGTTCCTGATGCTTCAAATAAAGGATTCTAACATATTCTAAGTATTGTAAGATCAGGATTAACTAAATAATAATTAATAATAAATACCATTTGGCAATAAGAAGCTATTCTGAAGTGGTATGTTAAACTAGGCAAGCAAACCTTTATAGCTACTATCTGATTGATGTATTTCCTTTGATGATTTTACATCCCATAAACGGATAGAGTTATCATCGCTACCAGAAGCTAATGTATTTCCATCAGGTGAGAAATTGACTGAATAAACTGTTGATGAATGGCCATCTAATTTGGCTTTTTATTATCCTGTCTTAACATCCCATAAACGGATAGAGTTATCTCTACGACCAGATGCTAATGTAGTACCATCAGGAGAGTAACAAATTGAATTAACTGTATCAGAATGACCATCTAATTTGGCTTTTTAATATCCTGTCTTAACATCCCATAAACGGATAGAGTTATC